TTGTGAAACGCTTAAACTATCTATTAAATCGCCTAGGCTCCAATTAGGCGTTCTAGGCACTAGGCATTGGGTCACCGCCCGCTTAGCGCCTAGCGCTTTCTTGAACATTGATTCTACTACATAAACTTTTCATTTAAACTTAAAGTGCAACTCTAAGAACATTATTAATTGGGTTTTCTTGGTTCATGAATTGAATAAAACAAAGTTTCGTAATTGAAATGCCATGATTTAGAAAATCCTTTCTGAGATTATTCGAGCACAAAGTTTACAGTTTTATTTGGTGTGAGATATAGAAGTGTCCAATAAGATGAATGGTGTTAGATTTCGCCATTGTTGCTTAGCTTCATAGCTTGAAAAGAAGCCTCTGTTTTCTTGAGATGGCGTTTGCAGAAACCGTTGAGTCTCTCAAGTGCATCTTCCAGCATCTGAGCTTCTACTCCGATCGTTATCCTCATCCAATTCTTCAATCCCAAAGCAACTCCTGCGAAACCAAGAAATGTTTCCATTCTCAAACTTCAAAACTAATCGATTTTCAAGTTTCATTTTTTTTGGTACTCATTTAAAGGCATGTTTCTAAATGTGTTACCTGGTAGCAAGACTAGGTTTTCTTCTTTGGCTAGCTTCATACAGAAATCCATGTCATCTTCTATGTCCTCCATCAACGGAAGCTCCAGCTTTGTCTGTAATTTTGGTTTTTGTTGTGAATTAAGAATGAATCCAAATTGATCAAGAGTATGAATAGAGGTTTGTGGTACCAATAAGTAAGTGCATGACTCAGGTTTCTTGGTGACGACCACGCCAGGAATGTCCTTGAGCCTATCACAGACCAATTCCACGTTCTGTTTCAGTATCGAATTCTTTTTCGCAAACATCTCTTTATTCGCTTTCCCTAGGATCTCGGGAAGCGCAATCTGAATCAATGTGGTAGGGTCTGGAGTTATGTCCAGATTCTGCTGGATGGATTGAACCACCTGTTAGACAGATACAATAACAGAGTGATTACTTGTAACGCAGGACTCAAAAACAGAGTGTTTACTTGTTAACACAAGTCACAAAAGCTAGTTATCGGATATAAAAACAAACCCCGGTGGATTTGACAATGCCGTGGGGATCATTCACAGCGATCCAGCCGATTCTCCAACCGGGAACAACCCACCCTTTCGATATACCACCTAAAGTGATAACCGGAGCTATCGAAGAGRACTTCCCCATTGGAACAAAAGGATTGTCTCCAAAGATTGTCTGGCTATAAACCTCGTCGGTGATCACCATTATTCCCAGCTTTCGGGCCGTCTCCGCCACCTATTATGGTTCCATTCATCAGGAACAAATTTTTTAGAGTCTATCGAATCAAAGCTAACAATAATTTATGAATATTAGGACCTTTTTGAGATGATCGTGAGAGTAGACATTTCCACAAGGGTTGTTAGGGTTTATAATAGCCATTGCGACCGTGTTTTCGTCTGCCATGGCTTCGATGCCTTGGAGATCAATCTCCCATTCTTTCTCGGGAAGGAGATCGTACTTGCGGACCTCGAGTCCACTGTAGACGGAACGAGCCTCGTAGTGAGGGTAACTAGGCCGTGGGAGAAGGATGTTGGCATTTGGTCGAGCTAGCGATTGAATCACGACTTCTATCCCTTGGTTGCATCCCACGGTCATATATACATCATTAGGCGTTACTTTGTTCGTCAAGTCCCGGTTCACGTAATCGGCTACCGCCCTGATTATGAAAGTTAACTAACTGCGTATTAAATCATTGATCTTTTTGCGACGGATAAAATATGGTGAAGACCAAATTTCATTCTTTCTAAAAACGGTCCGGATTGAACAAAATTATTTTTTTGGCATTAGTTCACTCCGTCCACTACAACAATCTGAAGTCTAAAATATGAGTCCGTTCAAGATTCAAACCCGGATTGCTTCACGATTCGAAATAATAATTCCGACTAAAATTGAACAAAACTAGAAAAAAAAGAAAGAAGTCAACTCAAATATATAGGAGGAGCATATTGTATGGAAAGGACTAAACTATGTGTCATAAGTCATAACAAAAGACAATATTAAGAGTAAAGTAAGAGAGAATAATATACTGTCTGGCGGGGAGAATTCCTGCTGCGGGGCCGTAAGAGTTACCCTTGCCCGAGCGGAGGACGTCCACGATGGCGTTCTCGACGTGGATAGAAGTGCGGAAGCAAGGGTACACAGAAGGGTCGCCGTGGGCAAGGGGTAAAAGTGTCTTTTTGACATCGGGGCTGCAAAGATCGAAGAGCTTGTAGACGATAACTCTCATTGTGACGCTGGAAGCTTTCGCTGCCGTGTCGCTGCCCTTGAAACGCCAAACGCTGCTTTCGTACCCATTCTGTGTTTGCGTTTCTTGTTCTTTCTCGGTTTGAAGGGCGGGAAGTACGAGGTTGCTGTGGTAGCTCATTGTTGATCGATTCACTGGGGAGTCTGTAGACTTTGAAATCTGAATGTTTATGTGAAGATAGGCCAACACAAATATTTATAGGAGAAGAAGATAATGAAAAGAGCTCTATGGATCAAACTTTTTTTTTTGTTTTGGTCATATTGATTAAACTTTAATAGTCAATTCAATTGCATGACTTTGTCTAACTTCGGTCAGATTTCAATAGTCAATCGCGAGTACTTTTCTATACCTTTGAATTGAAGACTTTGCATGAAAGGTTGATAACGTCCGAGTCTCGCTACGTACGTGGCAATAAATAATGTTGGCGTTAAAGTTTCGTTGTTCGTATTGACATGAAAAAGAAGAAGATAAATTATGAAACGTGAGAATATTGGTACACTGTTATGATTTGGAAGCCTGTGTTTATTCATTGACATAGTAAGGTATTTATACAAGCGTATAAGCTCAAACTTGGGCCCTAAGTTAACCTAGAATACATAGAGTAGATTATATCAAATATATC